GGGGGGGGGGGGGGGGGGGAAGTGTTCTGTTTATTTTGCTTTCTCAGGCAGCAGTCCTCCCATGGCCCGTTCCAATGTCCTTCCTGCCTTTGCAAGGGGAAGCTGCTCAGGAAGCCAAGGGCTGGCTACAGCTGCAAAGGAACCACGTCCCCTTGGCCCCGCAGCCCCCTGCTTCTGCACAGGAGGCCAGAAGAGCTCCTCAGCACTCGCCCAAGCGTGTGTTTTATCCACGTATGCTGACAGCAAGGGAAGGCGACCTGCTGAAGCAGAACTGAAGAGCAGTAGCCCCAGGTGGCTGTTAACAAGAACCTCTCAGAAGAGGGATGGGTATCGCCTGTTATTGCTACAAGTGAGGGTCTGGAGTTTATTGTGTGGATAATATCCTCCTCACTCGCTGTAAACAGAGGGGAAAATTCATACCAGATCCCTGTGAGTTAGCCAACATTAGCTAAAATGTAAAAAGCAGTTTCAAAAAAAAAAAAAAAAAAAAAAACCCCCAAAAAATCTCCGAGATGCTTGAAACCGCACGAGAAACAAAAACGCCTGGTGCCAGCAGCTGCCTGAGCTGAGAATCTGTCAGTGTCTGTAATGTACCTCCTCGGCTATGAAGCAAAAATCCTTTTCGAGGGCAGAAGCTGTGCTCCTCACCTAACGCCTCCAGGTTAAGACCCGGTGATGCTTCAGGTGCGTGAGGAGTAGAGCGGTGCCCCAGACACACCCGCAGAGCCCAGGGGAGGCTGAAGAGCGGAAAGGACGGCTGAGGCTGGGGTGTGATCCCGGCTCCCAACAGCCGCATCCTCAGCCCGCAGCTCACACAACTCCGCTTTCAGGCCAGTTGCTGGGGCCCCACTCAGCTGCAGAGCAGGACAACCTCTCTAAAAATGAGTAAACAGGGAAAGGAGAAGTCTGCTCCTGACTTCCAGATGTAACCATGCTCTATTTTACATGCAGTACGATATTTATAGCAACTACAGCGAGCCATGTCACATTCCTCAGTTCCCCAAAGCCACCTCAAAATGAAAATGCAGTGGAACAGAGACTCTCTCCCAAGTGAGTTTCTTTGCTTCCCTTCTCCCTGTCTCCCTCTCCATCCCATCTCTCCTCCAGAGGAGCCCTGAGCTCTTTAGATTAAGAAGGTGATCGGTGGCCTCCTTTGGGATCCAATTTCCACCTCCCCATCATCCAAAGAAAAGAAATTAGACAGTGAAGAACGTTGTCTCAGGAGTCTCTAATGGGAAACGGATTAAGCACTGAAGCTCACAGAAATCTTCATAAACTGAGGAAAGCTCTTCAATTTTGGCAGTCTGGGAAGAACAGATTCAGCGTCTCTGTAGACAACATAATTGCATTTTGCAGCACCACCTTTCAGATCTTCTCTTTTGTATAAAAACATTGTGAAAGCCTGACACAAAAATTAAATCTTTCTGATCAAATGCGCGTGAAGGTTTAAGGAAATGTAATATAGAAATGCACATATTTATGGCTTTATGAATGCCGTGTAATACACACACCAGCACACAGCCTAAGCTGGTTTTGGTAATATTTATAACAATTTCAGGACTTCTGTAGCACGAGAAGTGCTGGTCTCATAAGAGACGTGCCACTTTTCTTACAGGAAATTTGAGTCTGCTCGCCTTCCCCCGGGCTGTGCCACTGGAGGAACACGGTGACTGAACACACAGGGGAGATTTTCAAAATTACTTGGAAATAAAGTACCTGCCTGTGACACAGTTACCTCAAGCAGACAGTGTCCCATACAACAACCTGAAAGCTTTTCTCCTGAATTCCTGGTGACTTGTCGGGCTGCATCAGGCCAGTGCCACGGCACAGGGGGCTGCCAAACCCCCCCAGCAACCCCAAAACTCGCTAGCACGGGATCAGGGCAGCAAAGCTGCACACATCCGAACGCCCCTCTTTAGTCACAGCACATCCCACGTGAGCTTGCTCTGTTGTTCCAGCTGGATCCTCAGTGCTGCAGCGTTACAATGAGGTGGCAGCTGGGTACTTGTGGTGTGGCTAATCCACACGTCCCAAGTCACAAGAGGTATCCTATAAGAAAAAACTCAAGTTTTTAAATCTACGCTCCACTTTACACAACAGCAGTGGCCACTCTTGGGTGACGAAGGCATCTGCAGCTTGGCCGTGTACCCCTCCAGCCATCCATGCTTAAGCAAAAGCTCTGGTTTAGTTGTGTGGAGCCCAAGTGCCAAAAGCAGAGCTCGCCCCCATCCCTGGGGGGGCTGAGGCCAAAGGGCTGGGGAACCTACAGGGCTGAGCATCAACACAACAGGCGAAAACAACTTGAGGAGAGGGTTAAACGATATAATAAAATAAATGGTACCAGTTTTAATTCTTCCAATTTGGGATTGTTGCTTGAGGTCGGTTTTATAAGTTTCTTCTTCTCACCTATGAAAGGAAGCAAACAAGATCCATTACAGTTCTCAGTAAAATCTGCTGTAATTTTAATATTACACAACATCACTGACTGCCGTATGTAGAAACACTGTCATTTTTAATTTTAACTGATTCCTCATGAGCAAGACACTGGTCTATCAGACTATTAAGACTGCTGTTGGAAATCATGCTTCAGTGTAATTCAAATCAGTAAGACCTAGACGGACAATTCTGGAAAGGAGAGAACAACCTTGGTCAGATCCTTATGTGTGAAATGTGAATTTTAGTTGAAGAATCACCTAGAATTTGTGGTGCTTCTTCACGATCTGCCCCTAGAGAGTCAGCAGCCAAACTGCACACACAGAGACCTTACTCATTGCTGACAAATCCATGGGATTGCCGCTGAAAACTGTACAGTTAATTTGTACTGCACATTTTCTGCTTGGTTCCTCGGGTTGTTCTTTGGACCTTTTTCTGTCCTGGTTGATAAAGTACATACCTTGAGCGATGACATTCTCAGCTAGGAATTGATTAAGTGCAGCAGGCTGGGTAAATGCATTTAAAATGTCCGGCTCCATTGTCTTTTCTCACTCCTGGTAAACTGGTAAAAAACATGGGGGGAAAAGGAACATGAGTAAAGGCATGTAAAGATCAAAATTAGTGCTTAGAAGAAAATGAAGTGAAGGGTTTTTTTTCAGTTATTGTTTCATGAGTGGTTGATTGCTCTTAAAAAAAAATCTGCAAACGTATTTAAATGTGTGTAAAGAAAAAGAAGTTAAAAAGAACTTTCCTTTTTTCTGTTAATCATCAAAATATAAGAAAAAAGCCCTGAGGTACTAAAACTTGCCTTATTTCCATCTAGTTCTGTTTCATCTGAATTAATTAGTAAAATCCTATTCCAACTGAAATGAAAAGCTTTCAGTTCCTAGGTATCAATGGATACCTGCCATAAAAATGACCAATACTGGAGTATTAAATCAAGACTATGATAGCTAAATTAATGAGACAGGCTTAGAATTACAAGCGGCTTCCTTTATTAAACCAGCTGGAATAGCTGTGGGGAAACGACGGCGGGTTTCTGGGTAGACAATCCCATCTTCACGTCAGATTAAGTCACCAGCCTTCTCAAAGGCTTTTTTATTTTAAACACAGATCGGAGAACGACTGTCCTTCCCAGCCCAGACGTCCTCGAACGACAACACACAACAGAGTGGGGAAAACACCTTGTGAACGCACACACAACCACGGGCAAGGTTCTCCAAACCAGCTGGGAGCTGTGGGGGGGCACAGAAGAAGTCAGAGAAAGGACGGGGGCTGTCGGAGCTGGGGGGGGCTGAGCAGCCACGTACACGTGCTGCCCTACCAGGGAGCCAGCTCAAGCCCCTCTCTCCACCAGCAGCCGTCTGTGAGTACGGGGCCGGTGCTGAGCTCTCGCACCCTTCGAGACACCGCGACTCGAACCACGGGGCAAGCGCAGAGGACTCAGATTCTTTAACCAGGGGTGCGTAAGGCTGTGTCAGCTGCCGACACGGCCCACACAGACAGAGCCAGGCTCTACAGGCAGCTTACGTGGCAGGAAGTGTTCGGGTTTTAGTGCCTGCTTTTGCAATCTTAATGCTCACGTTCTTCAGTCAGGTCCACAAGACTAAAAACCCCCCAGGATGCTTTAGCTTGGCAAAGACCAAAACTCAGTAAAAAGTTAGACAGTGGCATCTGAGTAGTCTGTTTGCAAACTGTGTTATAGAATCACAGAATCCTTTAGCCTGGAAAAGACCTTTAAGATGGTCAAGTCCAACTGCCAACCTCACACTGCCAAGTCCACCACCAAACCCTGTCCACATCCACACATCTCTGAAACACCCCCAGGGATGGGGACTCCACCGCTTCCCTGGGCAGCTGTTCCAAGGCTTGACAAGCCTTTTCACGAAGACATTTTTGCTAATACCCAACCTAAAACTCCCCGGGTGCAATTTGTGGCTGTTACTTGGGAGGAGAGACCAACACCCACCTCACTACAACCCCCTTTCTCACAGTTGTAGAGTGATAATGTCTCTCAAGTGCCTTCCAGTCTGAACCGCCCCAGTTCCCTCAGCTGCTCCTCACACAATTTGTTCTCTAGACCCTGCACCAGCTTTGTTGCTCTTTGGATGCACTTCAGCACCTCAGTGTCTTTCTTGTAGTGAGGGGCCCAAAACTGAACCCAGGAATCGAGGGGCGGCCTCCCCAGTGCCAAGCCCAGGGCTCAGATCCCTTCCCTGTCCCTGCTGGCCACGCAGTGCTGACACAAGCCAGGATGCCACTGGCCTTCCTCTCATCTAGAGCATCAATAAAGATGTTAAACAGGAGCGGCCGCAACACCCAGCCCTGGGGTCACCACTCGTGACCGGCCCCCAACCCCCTTCACCACCACTCCTTGGGCCTGGTCCGCATCATGCGATAAATGAGTATGTTGTTTTCAGCGCAAGAAACCAGAGTTCTATACAGCGACTACGTGAATAAATGGCTGTGTGCAGAGGTGAAGGGACCCACGGGAGGATCACAGCTCCGAGCCCTGGACAATCCCGGCAGCACGTGGTTTGTGTCACGGCAGCAGCTGTACTACCACGAGTAAGAGAGCTCAGCTTTTCCAACAGTCCTAAACTCTGTGAAAGCCAGAGCAGAGGAGACCACAATACGACGACCAGGAAGAGTTTTTATCCTCCTTTGAACCATGAGATGGCACCCGCTGCTGGCCGCAGGGCCCCGTGGGACAGGCTGCTGCTCTGCTCTCTGGGTGGGGGTGTGACCTGCTCGGGACGGGGAACGCTCTCCCGGTGCTGCCCACAAGCAGTTGGTGCTAACGGCTGGGGGGCTCAGACGAGAACGCACCCAAGGACGTCACCTTTGCCGCTGTGATGGGGACAACCCTGGGAGGGCAGAGAAACCAACAGGCACCTGTGGCGGCCAAAGATAAGAAAGCTGAGAAACTTCACCGGCAGAGCAATGAGCCAAGACGAGGCCTTATATGAAAAAACCTCAGAGTTCGTGGGAAGGACAAGAGACACCTCTTCAGCAACCACTAGGGCCCACCACAGAGCACCAACCCCCTCAGAGACCCTGCCCCAGATTTTAGTACTTACTCAATGTATTAACATATGCATTAGATCCTCTGGAAATAGGTGTGTGCTTCTTGGCAATGACAGGAATATCCATTTCTTGTCCTGTACATCAGAAGTGTGCTTTTCTCTTTCGGCATGCACGTCAGGTGGAGTGACCCCCCGCACAGTCCAGACGCCTGCCTTCCCAAAGTCCAGACTAAGGCTTAAGGGGTTCTTTGGAGGTCGGATTTATGGTCACACCTTGTCTCTGAAGTTCAGTGCCGCGGGGCCGCCGTAGGAGAGGTGAGGCTGACTCGCCTTGCCCTTTAACAGAAAGCGAGATGCCCTGGGGGGGGGGTCAGGGGAGAGGACTCCTGTCCACCCCAGATGACCATGTCAGGAGCCCCGTGGTAGGTGGACACGGCACCTTGAAAGAGCAATCCGGGGGATTTAAGCGAGGGTCTAGGCCTGGCTTGCCTCCTCCAGGTACCTGCCCCGTGCCGTCAGCCGCGCTGTGCCTCAGCTGCGACCGCGGGAGCCTGAAGCGGGACGCTGTGAGGACCCAGAGCTCCAAGCACGGCGGGCAAAGGCAGCTGCTGAAAATGCTGCCACACGCTGCCCACAGAAGATTTTCAAAGTGACATTTCTCTGCTCAACAGCTTTACAGGCCAAGCAGCGTGGTGCTGCCCTGCAGGCTCGCCCTCAGGTTTACGAAAGCCCCCGGTCAAAGCGCATTACGAACACGCGTTCTAACACCAATTTTGACAAGCCAAGGATATTGGTAGAAGACAGCAATTCGATGCTTTTGCACATCAGTCTGGTAAAACAAATGAGGTACAAAATTCCCAGCAAGCCACTAGGGAGAAGGGTCACGAGAGATTTAGTTTCATTACAGTGGCTGCAAAACTGAACTCTGTCTCTGAAAAGGTGTTTGGTAAAATAAGATACGAGAAATCGAGTCATTCAGTGCCCGAGGAACAACTGAACTACCTGAGATGAGCCTGCCCAGATGGAATGAACCGAGAGAGAAAAGTTAATTAATACAGAGCGACCTACAGATAACGTACTCTTAAATTAGGTTTCTGACAGCTGTTACGCCGGGGAAGTCCTGCTCATAGGTCTTCTGCAATCGTCTGTGTAACCCACAGCCTGCACTCGGTTTGGCTGCAATACTCAGCTTGTGCATCTCTTCCTTCTCCGAGTATTTACACAAAGTGATGTGTCCTGCCTGCGCATCCTGTCTCTGGCTAAGGGGCACGAACTTCAGGAGCCACTCTTTAAAATTTCCAAGTCTATAAGGAAAGGCCTGAAAGTAAGAATTTGCAATAGTGTAAGTCAACATCCTCTCGGGCCTCAGCCCCGTGTTTCCTGCTCAGGAGTGTTAAATTGCTATACTGGGTAAGACTAGCTTACCTAGTATCTAGTTCCCTTACAGCGCCCAGAAGCAGAAGCTTAGGAGGAAAAAATAAACCAACCCAAACCAGCAACCATATACAGATACTTCCCTAAAACACTTCAACAGCCTGCAGCTCGGCTTTCCTAAATTAAAACTGGCTCCTGGCATTTTAGGGTTTATTCAGGTTAATTTTAGGCACACTTACTTCCCGTGAGGTTCCCATTCACCCCTCGAACACACCCACCTGGCACCGTTCCGTGGCGAGGAGCTGGCGGCCGTGGCTCTACCCGCCACTTGCTCTGACCCCCCGGCTCCCCCCACACACAGAACAGCCCCACAAAGCCACCCTCCTCACGTCACCCCCTCACTACTCTGCGGTACCGCTGCGTTACTACGACCCTACACCCTCAGCAGTCATCTCTTCCCAAACCCGAGGGAGCACAGCCCGCAGCTGAGCCTCCAACCCCCCCCCGAGCACCTGTGACCGTCGTGGTCGCCCCTTTCCTGGAATTCTCCAGCACCCCCCCGCCCCGTTTGGAAGCGCTGG